CCTCCTCCAACTAACAGTGCATTGTGAATACAGTTACAGGGGTAGAATTCCCCCACCCCTTAGTTGCGTACAGTAAAATAAATTTGCTTTCTTAAAAAAATCTCAGCCATCGTATTTTTCAACGCTCGTTCCTCCACTCACGATGGGAAAGCTGGTGCATCTTCCCCCCCAAGGGATTAATACCTGTCAGCGACATACCTGGGCCCTGCCTGAAGGCAGGTCAGCTTAGAAAATGAAGGATGTGCCTTGTGTTCTTAACCACAAGTACAACTTGACAGCCGAGCTCTTCGTTCCTGCGATTAGTGCTTTACGCTTAAGCCTAACGTGTTTGGTTAAAAATGTGGGGCTGGCTTAGGCGTGTGTATTGTAAACCATTTTTAAAGACAATTCTCGAAAGCCGAGAGATTAATCTCAGTCAAACCTGAGCTATTAAGCATCTCTTTCCTGTCAAACCACGGCGGGGCGAGAATTTCCTCTGCAAAGCTAAGCAGGTGTACGGCTCAAAAAAAAAAAAGAAAAAAAAGGAGAAAAAGTTAATGACTTTTCTTCTTTCCATCCACGATGGAGGAATTTTTTTTTTCTCTTCTCTTCATGGGCTCTTTTGTGCTCCAAGTTTTTGTGTGCTCGGATTTGTCTTGAAGGCGTTTTTCTTGTCACCACAAAGGTTAATATTTGCCTGGGGCCCCGTGGAAAAATCAAAAAGAGGTTTTCCACACGCCCTTTTTTCTTCGCTCCCTCCTAATGGTGAACCATTGTTGGGATTTTTATCCGGTGAGGTCTTCTGGCTCCGGCGGTCGATTGATGAGACTTTGTAAAGAATAAAAATCTTTGGGCGGTTTTATTGCCATTGGCAATAAAAGAAAAAACCGCTCTGGGTGGGATCGATGAAGCTGGAAGAGGGTGGATGAATGCAGCTCTCCAAATTGTTTTTGGCAAACTTGCTTTAAAAAAAGATACATTAAAGTGGACTAAAATATATTGTTATGTAAGGAACAAATGTAAATGAGTCAGAGAGCTGGTGTGATGAAAGAAAGAAAGAAAGAAAGAAAGAAAGAAAGAAAGAAAGAAAGAAAGAAAGAAAGAAAGAAAGAAAGAAAGAAA